TCATGGCCTCCTAATAACCCCCATCTCTGAACTGGCTTCATCACTCTGCTCTCCTCCCCACTGAGAGCTGGTGTGTGTGAGAGGACTGGAGCATCATCCAGGGGGGGCTGCACACTGGTGGGGGTGGAGGGGATCCCCATGACCTGTAAAGAGCTCTGAATGCAGGGGCCAGAATAGCGCTGTATAAGTGTCAGGAGTTACTGATTTGAATTCCACACTTTTTGCTCTTTACCCAAGTATTTTGTGTGATTCTTTACTGCTTCACTACAGTGCCCTGGAGGGAAAATCGGAAAATATACCAAAAAAAAGTCAGATCCGGTCAGCATATATCCGGTCAGTTTAACTTCTAAACGGTTAACTATCAGCGGTTGGAATCCAGTACCGGAGTAGGTGGGGCTGTGTTTTCACCCGGCCCTCTGCAGCCGGTGACGCTGTTTCCCAGCCGGAGGGTTTTGAGTGTTACAGCCGGCACGGGTGCCGATGGAGGTGTCGGGGGTGGCAGCCGCGGGCAAGTTGCGCGTTTGTTATCATAGACCCTAGCGAAGACTCCACGCGTCCCCACGTCTCCCGTGGAGTGAAACCTGCCTCTGCAGCCCCGGCCACAGCCACGGAAACAGGAGCGGCCGCTTCTGAGGGGGAAAAGGTACCGGTTGTTGTCGTTCGGCGACTTTTGCGCTGTGCACCGTGGTGGAAGGAGCAGAGGGGGTTGTAGTTACTTTTGAGCGCTGTCACCTATTTAAAGAAAAAAACCCGAGTGTCAGACCCCTGCTGAGCCCTTGATTCGCTTTTAAAACGAGGTTTTATCTGCGCTGGGGGCATTAGGGCGTGTGTCAGGTATTAAGTAATGGGCTTTGGCGAGTCTGAACACGGTTGGAGAGCAATTCTGTGTCTCACTGGACTCACAAGGTTCCGTCGACACTGCGCTCCAGTACAGTAACTAAGCCCTCACACCACGTACATGTCATTCTCATAATATTTTTTGCCATTGCCGGTGATATTTGTTTTTATTGTAGCCTAACAGATGGCGATTAAATATTAATCTTGCAGCGCTGAAACAAGTAGGGAAGCAGGGCACAGAGCAGTCGGAGTGCATGTTGCGGTGCAGCACCTGTGTCCACCTTCGTCAGCGGTGGAGTTTGCGGTTGTATTGAGCTGTTGTATGCAGTTTCCCTGGGGCTTGTGCTCTGCTGCAGCTCTCCCCCAGCCGGTACCGTGCCCGGGACAGGGAGAGCGCTTTCTGGGTCAGCCGGATAGACGTGCTGTTGGGGGGGGGGCTTGAATTTTAATCTGCACGGCACGCACTTCCGTTATGAGACCGTGCGCCGGCCCGGGAGGTGTTAGTGTCGTGGTTCCTCTGGACCGGGGGCC